CGTATTTTGCTCGTCGTGGAATTAGGCCTAAATATTGTGCATAACAAATGATATAAATTGACTTACAATCTAAAACTGCATGTGTTCCAACAACTTTTGAAAGTGATTGTCTGAAAGGCTTGTTCAACCTCTAGCTCTTTGAATTGCAGAGTATTTTAAAATATGATTTTTGCGAAATTTATATAGCATTGGTCATAACATATTCACTGAATTGCATTGGCATATGCAGTGTTCTTTTTGTGCTTGCTATATAGTCAATATGTTGGAAATGTGTCATAAAGCAATAGTATATCATAAATAAACTGATAAGCAGTTGGGATATATGGGGAGTGAAGTATGTCGAGAGATTAAAACTGGTCTACGCTAGCCTGCGAACAGGCTCACTGGGAGAAAGGTGAGCCTGCACGGAACCATGCGTTTTATTCAATCATCCCCTTTTCGCATCTGCTAAACGCGAACCAATCAGCGTCGACTGCGATAAATAAACTGTCAACTGTCAAATTGACGCAAGGCGTGTACATTGTGCAACGAAGAAATACTGAATATTAAAATGTATACATATAAATGTATATATATATGAACAATAATACAAAGCATTAGCGGGCCGCACAAAATATTACTCGGAAAAATATAGAATTCTTCAAATATTAAATAGATATCAATACACATACAAATATAAAGCCGAATAAAATACTACCATTGGCATTGAATCAATGTACAGTAATACTTGTACTATGTGCGACTGAAAGAACAATGTTCTTAGCCTGCGAGCAGGCTCAATGTTCTGAATATTTGAAGCTATTACTAAAATACGGTCAGATAGATTGGGATTTGGAATACCGAATACGTCTAAAATTTTTCAAACTGTGGTCTAAATAAATGATAAATGAGCATATATTTATTAATTTCTTCGAAATCACGAGTGTGCCAATAGTGGAAGCATAGTGGTGGAAGCCGTATCGACGACGAAATTGTCAGCAGTTTATACAGTAAATAGTACAGCGTTTAATGTACGATATATATTTATATCTAAATTCTAAATGACATGCCAGCGAGGATCAACAATATAATTATTCGTACATATTTGGGTATCTTTTGTATACCTTCGCTTGCTGACTTGCTCACTAATGAAAATAATCCGTGAAGCCACGACGACCTCAAAATGTACTATACTATAGTCTGATGTCAATCCGAAGACGAAGTTCAGAATACTGTTATAGTTTCGTATATTGGATTTAAGCGATAGATTCAAGTCATTTTTGATAGATTTTTTGCTGTGATGCTTTGCTATTGCTTTTGGTTTCCATTTCTAGTTTTATTTGTTCGATAGTCTTATAATATATAATATTAAAATGAATAAAGTTCAAATTCTTCAAAATGCTGTTGTTGACATTTGCTATTTTTAGTAATTTTGTCAACGAGTGTAATGGCCAATCAGAAGCCTGCGTTTCTATACGAACGCCACTACCAAGAAAACCTATAGTTCCGTGCAGGCCCTCTATTCTTCGCGCCGCCCGTAACCCAGGGCCTGTTCGCAGGCTAGGTCTACGCAAGGGATAAATGCACATCTAACTGGTTTATTAGCGATGAAGATTATTGCTAAGTAAAATGCAAGGATAAGTTGTTGAAGACCAGTTAACGATTGTGCACATTTGACATGAGAACATGGGTGTAATACAGTAAAACGGTCAACCTCGTACCCAGGGCCTTTGCGCGGTTCAGAGGCTCTGGTACGGGAAGCAAAGGCCCTGGTAAACACTGGTCATGTGACTCCAAAAATATTGGACATTTCGTAATAATTTAGTTTTCAATCCGGGGGGAGCGGAGCCGATTGATTTTATCAAACATGGCAGCGCGAAGGCGCGACGTTTTCGAGTTTTTATATTATTATGATAAATAAAACTTTCCTAGTGAGATTTAAGAGTGGGTATATATTATCTATGCATTCTACGAGCTTTCTTTCAACAAATTGTGGAATAGCTAACGGTAATACTTATCAAAGATCGAAGGACGAAGATCAAACTGAGAGAAAACTTGTCGAGTGATCTGTCTTTAAACTGTCTATTTTGTATCCAATGCAGCTGCTTGTGTGCGACGTTTTATAAAGAATTAAACAAACATTGTTGATTATAAGTAATTTTATGTATTGACCAAAGAATATCACTTGGGATTTTATTGTACTTTTATGGAAGGATAAATCAGAGGGGACATCTATGGAAACGAAATTCTTCATGTGTATTAAACATGTAGTTATCAAAGCAGAATATTTTGAAACAATTAACTGGTCGAGTGACAGGTTGGTTTCCGTATGTATGTAGTTTAAAATACAGTTGTGAATGAAATTGTACACAGCATCTTGAAACCTTTGTGTGTGTGAGTTAATTTCATATTTATTTTTTGGGATGTATCATCTATATTTCTGTTTGTCTGGAAGGGAGGGAAGGGGGGGGGGGGTACCAATCCTGAATCATGAGAAATAATATACAGTGATCTTGAAACAACAAATTTACTACGAATTTTATATCAATGATATGTGACTTAGGAGTCTTAAAGGCAAATAACAGTCTGTATACTGGGTGTGCGTTCACCTATTTGTTAACATTTGCAGTTACTGTACATCAGTTCATGATTTATGAAATTTGAACCAAAGCTGTAACATAATATTAGTCACGGCACAAGTCACTAATAATCCCCGAGCCGGCGGCGCGAAGCGCCGTGCGAGGGTACTAATTCCCCCCGGCTATATACACCCGGGGAAACGAAAGCATTAGGGAAGTCTAAAGTTCATCAATGAGCGCGGGCGTCGGTCACCAACGATGGGTGGTCATCCCCACTGATCTCAAAAATATGGCGGACTGTCATGAATAACGGACACTGATTGGTCCAATTTAAAGTTTGCATTATAACGACTGCATGACGACAGCGAAATAGCAAACATTTCTTGATTTGATGAGTTGATGATTGATAAATTTGTCAAATTTCTTGCAAATATTCTTCATTTTTGCTCGTATTTCTGCAAGATTTTGTAAATTTCAAGAATGAAAGGGCCAAAGGATCAGCTAAAAGAACGGAGCCGACGTTAACGAAGGTAAGTTTGTTTTAAATATTGATTTTATAATGGCTTTAAAACCCGACGGCTTTTGCGTATATCAAACAACTAAACAAGACATACAAGAGAGCATATAATTTCAGTGTATCTTTAATATTGATTCCCTTTTTTATTATATTGAATTTTTTAAATAAAAAATAAAGCAAAGTTACTTGCAGCGAGAATTTGAAATCATTTTATTGCGAACTCAAAGTTTATCGATAAAGCCATTTAATAGTTAAAGGCAGTTTAGTTTTATAAAGAACACTTTAAAACGTTTTGTGAATTGTTTGTTGTTGAATTTTACCTTAAATTGAAGCTTGTATTACGTATAATTACATACCTAACATATATATATGTTGAGAAATTGATAATTTTGTAATTAAAAGTGATATTTTTAGGCGATTTTCATTTGTAAGAATATTCTTAAAAAATTATCGTGTTACCATAACAACTACTTTAGATACTTCATGTTCGGAAAATACAACGGTTTTGTTAGCAAGGCGAGGGTTTCTGCATGCATGTATTTTCTAGTTTTAGGGTAAATATTTTTCTGAAATACTTCATTTGTCAGTTGCATCTTATAGTATATACTGTAATAATATCTTGAAAAAAGCTGTAATTGTACCCGGTCTAATAGCTTTGTGTACAATTGGCAACTGGGGGTCATGGGGACTTGCGGTGTTACGGAGTTGGACTATTTTTAGTGCGGTGATACGGTGACTAAGGCTCCAAATTTGCGGTGTTGCGGTGACTGAAAAAGGCGCGGTGTGCGGTGATTGTGCGTTTTACCTTACGGTGATACGGTGAGATGATATTATTTCCAGGGATGCCGGACCACGGGTGCTGTGGATGCAAGTGCACCCCATGCCTTTTGTATTTATAACTTTTTGGGTGCAGTGCGGGTGCAGACTATGGGTGCGACGGGTGCACAAAAGATTTAAAACGAATATATTTAAATCATTTCACACAAACAGCAGTGGCGTAACGAAGGAAGATGGGGCCCTTAGGTATATTTGGTGTGGGGGCCCTGTTGACTGTTGTCATTGTTTGACTGAGATATTATATTTATGTTGAATATCTACAAAATGTTCCGGGAAATTCTGTGTCCATAACAATAACGGTTTCCAACACATGTAACAACTAATAAGAATAACTTTTGTTTTATTTGGGATGGAATAAAAAAAACAGTTACCGTCTTCGATGGAGGCTTTATTATTTAACATTACTAATTTTCCATTTCCACATTGACTCTTAACCTGCATTTTTACGTAGGTTTTCTATTTTGGGGGAGATAGGACTTGGCCGATGAGGGCCCCTAACTGGCTGCGGCTGCAGCCCTCCCATTAATTTGCTAATAATAATTCTTTTGTCAAAATCATACAGACCTTTATCATCTAAATAATATACCTTTAAAATACCGACAATTGATTAATTTTTAGCGGCTACATTATCCATGACAAACTGCAAAGAATAATATTACCCATATTTTCTCCAATATATAGTTAATTAAATCCGCATTCGCCCATTTAGTCAGTACCACTAAATTGTAAGCAAATTGTAAATTTCGACATACTAAAACGCTGTTTTCTGACCATCAGAATTCTGTCAAAACCTCCCCCAAAGTCCAGGAAATGGCATTTCAGACACTCTAAATTTAAAAATTTCCTGGGCCCTTCGGCCCACGTTTTCAGCCCCCCCCCAATCAAAAAGAGCTTCCCACAGCAGTGCATGCTACCCTAATATGTCTGTGCCTAAAATATGCGTATTTTTGTTTGTAAATTGCGTCTTCATCTTCATTTTCCGGATAGCAACCACCTTTCTGGTTTCGTATGCCATAAAATATTCGGAATTTTTTTTAATTTTGTCACTCAGAAATTTTTGGCATACACCCCCCCACCCCTCCCCAACTATGCATACTAGCTACGGCCCTGTTCATAACTTATATAGTGAAGAAGCACAAAAAACTTTCTTCAGTAGAAGAGATAGCGAAACTGTTCTGCTAATTCTGTGTGCCTTATTTTAATGTTTGAAATTAATAAAAGGTTGCTTTATTGCTTGTGTTTGATTTTAAATTAGGTTATAAGTAGGCAAGTGCCATTTCGTTTTTGTTTCTGCCCTTTTTTAAAAAATATGCCTTTCTGATAGCAAAACGCACCCCTCGCCCTCAGCAATTTCCGGCATCCCAGAGTATTTCTGTATAGTTTTGGTCAGTTTTGCGGTTAAATCCACATATTTTTTTCAGTTTTTTTTAAATCCACATAATTTTTTTGGCCTAACGACGACCTAACTCACGATCTATAATCTAATAACAGAAATTAATAAACCTTATGGAGTTATGGGACGCGGCAAAGACATGTTTTTAACCGTATTTTTTCCATGCGGTATTTACAATTTTTTTTTGCGGTGATGCGGTGTCCTCGAACGCATTTGTACGGTGTTGCGGTGTTGCGGAACCCCCAATGACCCAACTGGGCTGTCTTAGAATTCATGAAAGACCTTTGCTACAACCCCAAGAAAACATGCCTTTTATCAGGAGATCAATTAAATTCTCTGCTTCAACCAGATTAACCACACAAATGTTATTGTCACCATTGTGACTACCGACACTTTTTACAAATAATACACTAGTCTGATAGTTGAGCACTGACTGACATATCATACTTTGTTTTCAAATATCTTTGGCTTTGGTTAAAAACCAACAATTATACATTCTTAAACATTTTAAATACTTCAGCCTACATAATTTCCATGATGGTCAATTATTGCACTTACTGAGAATACTATAATTACTTCTTTACCATAAAAAATATTTTGGGTTTAATTGAAGTATTATTCACAGCTGGTCTAAAGAATTGGGTGTTTTGATGCATCATACTTTTGTCAGTAAAATTAAAAACCTATTTAGTCCTATCTGGATATGCGGTAAGATTATCAGTAAGTAAATTTCATTTTTTAAATCCTGAAATCAAAAATCACCATATTATGCATGAATTACATAATTACATCACTGTCACTTGTCACAGAGTGAACATACCAAATTCAAAGAACATTGTCACACTGTTTCTAGATGAAATAATCAACCGATTTTTTGGGCAAACAATATAATTCATGTGGGGAAAAAATAGATATTTATATGTGTGCACATAGTTTCAAGATCAGCTAACAGGAATGAAACCAGCTTTCCCAGTTATGCTTGGAGCTGATGAGAACAGTTAGTTTTGAACAGAAAATGGCATGGGACTTAATTCATCTAGGTGGCAATATATTGCCTTCTCACCAGCACAATTGATCAAGTCATACACATTCATTACTGCCAATCTCTTTATTATTTATGTCTCATTACAAATACAATATATTTTCATTATCAGCAGTATCATTACAACTTGTGCATCACCAATATCATCACAACTTGTATTTCACTACCATCATCATTATTATTCTCACCATTCTAATTTTATTAGTCAATCACAATGAATAAAAAATTTCCTATTTTACACCACTCATATATTACTTAATTGCCCAAGGGGTTAGGGCCATTTCACATCACTCCAGGATCTGAATACCCTGCAATCACCTTTTCGATATAATACTAAAAGAGAAACAAACGACAAATGTCTTACTGGCACACTGGAATATCATAATTGCCATAAAATAACTGTCATTTGAAACCACATTCTGCTGTAACAGCACAACTGCTCAAGGTTGCAAGGTAAATAATAGGGATGTAGTAAGGCCAGTATTACTGGTAATTGTGTTTTTACATTTTCCTCACAACCATAGTCCAATTATATGGGGCAAAAGTTAGAAAATCCAGGCACTTTTTATTACTCACTTAATCTTACACTTGACAAGTAAAATTGTCTGGTGTTGGACAGAGAAAAATAACAAAGTATGCCATATTTGATTATCCCATATTCCCATTACTGTAGTGTAACAATTAACACAAGACTCTCCCTTGGATGGGTAAAATTGGGGGCTATGAAGATTTAATGGCAAGAAGTGGGGGAAACATTTTCTCTAGTAAAATTTATGGGGGCCATTGGAAATTTATGGGGGCAATTGGAATTTTATGGGGGCCATTGGAATCATCAACCAGAGTATTGAGGCGATAAAGAAAAGAATACCTGACTGTAAAATTAATGTAATCTAACTTTCTTGTCACACAAAGTTAGGTAACGTTGGCATTTTCACACTTTTCTATTATTATCGTACTGTTCTGTTAAGTATTTATTGGATGAGTCAGAGACCAATGGATTGCATGGTATGAGGGCAGTTTAATAATTTGTAATTTTTGCATGAATTCTTTTATTAACTTTTGACTACTGTAATGGTCAGCCAGTTAAATAAGTATTTTACTGAGGGTACTGCCTAACTATTTTACATGTCAAAGAGAACTCCAGTTATGAAAGATTGGATATTTTCTGAGCAAGCTGGAACAGAAAATTTTGATTTTAGTGAACTAAGTGAAGCATGAAGATCTAACCAAAAAATATATTAGGCATGAAGGAGGGTTTATATCCAAAAGCGAAAGATGGAGGAGTAATTAAGCGAAGAAAACTAATTATACAAACAGACAGCCACGAATCTGCTGGAATTTAGGATATATAAACTGATAAATATTAAAAGATACGAGAATATAATTTTATATATGCATCATAAAAATCGTTTACCTCGAATATACTGCATTCTTTATAGCATAATTCAAAATCCATGTGACTTCAAAGTTTATAATTTCCATCAAAATAAAAACAAGCCTAAAATCTGCTGTCTGTTGTTTTAAAATATGAATTTTCAAACAATTGTTTATATACATTCATATTTTAAAAATCAAAGGCAAAATCATTTGTATTTGAAACTTTTATAGTTCGTGCATTGCAATGTTCAGTTGTTCATCCCCCCCCCCGGGATGACTTTAATAAGGCCAGGTTACAAAAATGTCCAATATTTTTGGACACACGTGACCAGTGTTTACCAGGGCCTTTGCTTCCCGTACCAGAGCCTCTGAACCGCGCAAAGGCCCTGGGTACGAGGTTGTAAAACGGTTTGAACACGTGCTCGGTTGACACACGGTAGTCGCGTTGATTCATATATTTTCGTTGATTTAACTTTCTATTTTTACAACATAATTATTTTCAAAACATTTGCTAGAAATAAAAGTACTTAAAGATAGGGCACAGTCCGGTCTGCGCATGCGCACATAGGAGTCTCCTGCCGTGATATAAACACTTTAATTATAGGTTTTTATTTCATTTTATGTTCTTGCAAAGCCTGATTGTTGTATATTGATAATTTATTATACTGTAGAATCATAAAAATATAAATAGTTGTCGAATAAAGTTCAACATTTTGAATACCGAAATGTAAACAAAGGCTTTGTTTACGTACGGACTGTACCCTACCTTTAAGGAACACGTAATGGTATATTATGGGGATGATGTGTGGGATCCGGATAATGGTTCCGGTAAAAATAAACACCGGAAGTATCCCGTGTACGGCAAAATTAGACGGGATATTCACCGTATAATACTGGAACTTGTATCGGAACCATAAAACCGAAAAATTGTTTCCTTTGTCTTTTTTGTGTTAAAAAATTGTGAAACGGGAACAGTTAATTAAACAATGGCCTATATTATGGAACAATAGTGAAGTATTGATCAACTACCACCGGTACCATTAGTATCCGGTACCCATGCCAGCAATAAGATCTATTAACTTACTGTTTTTGATAGACAAAATTAATATAATAGACAAAGTATATAATTTATGTACAAAAAGTAATAAAATTAGGTTGCATCATTTAATAATTGCTGATTCCAGACCTTTGCTCCGATTTATATAACTAAAACTTCTTTTCACAGAATTGGAAATTCAGTATAATTTTCATTAAACTTAACTGACGAAACCGATCAACAGTTTTTGCCCGCAACTAAATTTTGCCCGCCCGCGAAGGCATTGCCTGCAGCGGAGGACTGGACCAGCGAAAGTCGATCGAAAGATGTATTTCATCGGTACGTTTGTCACGCACAATTTGTCCGAAAAATATTTTGCGTACAACAACAATTAAAGTTAAATGTTTATGACTTTAATTTGGTCTTGTCTAAAAGTACACACGAGTGACCACGAGTGACCACGAATGACCACGAGTGACCACGAATGACCACGAGTGATTTCTGTGTTTAAAAGTCATAAAATAGTAATAAAAAACTATTTTAAGGTGGCTCCATAGGGCTTTTGCATTATACTACACTTTTGTATCCAGAAAACTCCTGTTTCTTCACTTTACATGACACGAAGACGAAATTTATTGGACACATTAATAATGCTCTCCTGAACATTGTAATTAACTTTTGCGCTGAAAGTCCGTTACCATGGTAACTGCGTGCTTTGGATAATTAAGCTCAAATTTTGTCTTTTTCCGGCCGTTTTAAAAATTTAAAAATTTGCACAAAAGATCAGTTCTCGTATAATGATTTTTTTCTTCAATTTTAAAAAAAATTATGGAACGTTTCTTAGATTATTCCCTTCAATAAAATTTTAAGAAAAAAGGATATTGAGCTTGTTTAGAAATGTGAAAATATTAAGAAATGTGAAAAGTTTTAAAACAATTTACCGAAGGAAAAGGGTGAAATTTAGGTTTAATTTTGGCATTTTTTGCGAGATATGACGTGTAACAACTTTTGATATTTTCAGGTACAATTTGACAATGCGTAAAAAAGTTATTATTTGTGTGAAATGATAACCATTTTTGTAAAATATACAGTCAATTTACATCCAATTTGTTTGCGAATTTGCTTTAGAAAACGCCAGAATTGCAGTCCTAGAGCTTCAAAAATGGAACAATTTTTTGGGGAAGGACCCCCAAACCCCCCGTTTTCTCCCGAAACTTAGTATGATAGTGCAAGTCATTATCACAAGAAGCTTTATTATAATTATTACACTTTAGGTAAATATTTATTAATTAAAAATTCAAATTTCAGGTAAAATCCTCCGACAAACCCCCAACTTCAGATGCTTTGCTATGTTCCTGTAGACTGACGTGTACAATAGTCGAAAAACTAAAAAAAATTCCCGAAAGGGTTTTTAAAATGGCCGAAAAAAGACAAATTTTGAACCTTATCCTAAGCACGCTGTTGCCATGGTAACAGACTTTCTGACCAAAAGTAGCAGATTGCAATGTTCAGGAGAGCATTGTCAATGTGTCCAATAAATTTCGCCTTCGTGTCATGTAAAGTGAAGAAACAGGCGTTTTCTGGATACAAAAGTCTAGTATAATGCAAAAATCCTATGGAGCCACCTTAAAATAGTTTTTTATTATTATTTTATGACTTTTAAACACAGAAATCACTCGTGGTCACTCGTGGTCACTCGTGGTCACTCGTGGTCACTCGTGGACACTCGTGATCACTCGTGGTCACTCGTGGTCATTTGTGGTCACTCGTGGTCACTCGTGTGTACTTTTAGACAAGATCCTTTAATTTTGATTATTACAAATGGAATACCAAATGGTTTTCCGTTCAGGATAACGTCATTCATATACATGCGGGAGTTTGGCAGGACTTTCGGAAAGCGTAAAAAGAGAAGCGGCAGGCGAGTGTCTTTTTACGCTTCCCAAACGTCGAGCACATCCCTCGTGAATGGATGACGCTATCCTGCACGGAAAACCATTTTGTAGTTGCATTATAAAATAACTAGAAAATACATGCACGCGGAAACCCTCGCCTTCTGGCAAAACCATTGTATTTTTCGAAAACATGAAGTATTTAAAGTAGTTGTCATGGTAACACGATAATTTTTTAAGAATATTTTTACAAATGAAAAATCCCCTAAAATTATCACTAATTAATTACAAAATTACCAATTTCCCAAACATATTTTTGTTAGGTATGTTATTGTACGTCGAAAAAGCTTCACTAGTTAAGGTAAAATTCAACCACAAACGCTTTACAAAACGTTTTAAATTAAAGTGTTCTTTATAAAACTAAACTGCCTTTTGGCTTTATCGATAAACTTTGAGTTTGAAATAAAATGATTTCAAATTCTCGCATGCAAATAACTTTGCTTTCTTTTTTATTTAAAAAATTTAATATAATAAAAAAGGGTAGTCAACAAAATATACACTCATTTTGTATCTTGCTTGTTTGGGTTATAGAGACCTCTAGCATATATGCTACTCGCACTAGTTGTAATCAAAGACTAATTTATTGATAGAATTAAGTAAATATATATACAAGCATTGACAGGCAATTAGGATATATGATATGGGTGTGTGTGAAAGGTTAAGCCTGGAATGAATTAAGTACAGGATACAACATTCCTCCCCTGTTTAGTAACTTGCTAAGTTGAACTATATATATTTGATTCCTATTGCTGATTGTTCGTAATTTGAATTTCGTACCATTGTTCTTGCTAAATTAACTAAATTATCTATGTGCTTAATAATGTCAGATTCTCTTAGCTTAGGTGTCCATTATTCAATATCTAAGGCGATCTGGGACGGTTTTCTCTCGTGTGGATCTGCGGAGCGGGGTTGGGTCTGGTTGGATGATGGAAATGTTTGGGTTGCTGTCTGGTGGGGTTTCTTCAGTGGTGCTTTGTGGTGGTTGGGATTCTGCAACGAAATCCTCGTCTTCTACGTTGTTCGGTTCTGATGTGGTCCAATATTTCTTGACATGAGAAGAGTTTCGTCGGTGCTGTTTACCATGGAGATCTGTTAACACGATCTGTGTTCCGTTGATCTTCATGATTGTCATCGGATCTTTGCAAAACTTTGTCGAATACTTGTTTTTTCTCTTCTGTTTGACCAGAACTTTATCTCCTACGATCAATTTTCGTTCCGCTGCATGACGTTTCTTGTCGGTGTATGCTTTCGCTTTGGACTTCTCGTTATCGTCTTTTCTTCGCACTTCCTCGTGCCAATCTGTTGGTTGGTCCACCGTGGAAATTGCTGGGATCTTGGTTCGAAGTTCCCTCTTCATGAGTAGTTTTGCTGGGGTCTGTCCAGTGATTCGGTGGGGTGTGGTTCGATAGTGGAGAAGTAGGTTTGGTAGTGATTCTCTCCGGTCCTTTTGCTCTGCTTGTGCTGTGAGGACACGTTTCTTGATGACTTCGTTGAATCGTTCAACTTGACCATTTGCCTGCGGCCAGTATTCGGTCACGGTTTTGTGCTGGACTCCCCAGGACTGTAGGGTCGTTTTGAATTGTGTAGAGGTAAAGTAGGAGGCGTTGTCCGACTTCAGGACTGTGGGATAGCCATGTTGGGCGAAGATGGAATTGAGCCACTTCAGAATTGTAGCGGAGGTAACGGTTTTGAGGGTCTTGGCTTCGGGCCATCTGGAGTAGTAGTCTGTGAGAACAACAATGTACTCACCAGTCGGGAATGGTCCACAGATGTCGATTGCTAACTCGGTCCAGGGTTCTTTGGGTAGCTCTGTTGGACGCATTGGTTCAGGGCGTGGTGGTTGTGCTACCAATTGACAGGGATGACAACATTTGACGTGAGCTTCGACGTGCTTGTCCATCTGCGGCCACCACAGTTTTGCTCGGATGCGTTGTTTGCACTTTGTGATCCCTGCGTGGTCTTCGTGAGCTAAGGATATGGCTTTCTGTCGGAGGTCGGCTGGCCGGACGATTCGGTTCCCACGAAGAAGGATGTTTAGGTTAGTGACACAGAGTTCATCCACGACTGATTGGTAGGGTGGTGGAATCTTGTATAACTGGTTTGTTTGTAAACAGGTTCGTATCTGTGCCAGTTCTGGATCGTTGATAGAGGCCTGTTGGATTTCCTCTATTGACATGGCTCGTGGTGCAAGATACTGGGAAAGGTAGTGGAAATATCGGTCTGCGCAGGCTTCCATGTTGCTTCGGGTGTTAGTGGGAGATTGTTTTGGAAGTCTCGATAAAGGATCAGCTAGGTTTTTGGGACCCGGTCTGTACACGACTTTAAAATCGTACTCTTGAAGTCGCAATCTCCACCTTTCGATTCTTGCAGGGGTTGACTTACTCGCGTTGTTGGGTTTGGGTTTGTAAATGTGTTCTAGGGGTCGGTGTGGTCGGTTTCAAGTTCGAAATCTCGTCCGTAAAGGTACATGTGGAAATGTTCACATCCAAACACGATCGCTAGCGATTCTTTCTCGATTTGGGCGTACTTTTGCTCTGTCTCGGACAAGGATCTGCTTCCGTACGCTACGGGACGATAAAAGCTATCTTGTTGCTCTTGCAGGAGAACTGCGCCGACCGCCCATGGTGATGCATCAACTACGACTCGCGTTTTGGCTTCGAGACTGTAATGAGCCAAAACTGGAGCACTCGTTAGGGCTTGCTTCAGGGTGATGAATGCTTTCTCGTGTTCGTCGCTCCATCGAAACTTTGCGTCTGCCTTCGTGAGCTGGCGAAGTGGGTAGGTGATGCTGCTGTAATTTGGGATATA